GGGAGCGCGGCCGCGTTCCGGGCCGCACGGTGCGGCTGGGGCCGCCGGGCCGCCCGCGTCACCCCCTGCGCGAGCTCCCCGGAGGCGGTGGGGAGCGGCTTGTGGCCGGTGTTGCTGGCCGGAGGCGGCCGCTCAGGTGCGCGCGCGCCCGCCCGCCCCTCGCCGCTCCCGGGCGGCGGGTAACGAGCCGGCACGGGGAGCTGCTGAGAGGAGTTAGCGTTGGTGGTTACAGCGAAGGCGGAATAACCTTGTTGAACTCTTTAACTTGTTTTCAGAAACTCGCTCTAAGCCTTCCGTGCACAAGGAAGCGGAATATCTCTAGTATCGTTAGTAGAGTTTATAACTGCACCCGCTTCCCTTCCCTTCCCGCCGCCCCCGCCTCGGGTGCGCGCTCGCGCCCCTTCCCGCCCCTCAGGTGCGCGAAGGTCGCGAGCCGGCGCGAGCGGCTCCCGGGCGGAGCATTAATTTTCTGGTTACAGGCAAGCCGGGAAAAAACCTCACTAGATTTTAATTTGCTTTAAAAAAAAAAAATAATAAAAAAATCACCCCTGAGCCTTCAGCGTACAAGGGGCCTGAATATCCGTACTCTTGTAACCGCGCTTATAACTCCTCCGCGCGCCTCCCTCGGGTGCGCGCGCCCCGTCCCGCCCCTCAGGTGCGCGAGGGGCGGCTCCTGAGGGAAGGTGGAGGCAGGTGCTGATCCTCCTTTATTTTAACCTCTTTTCCAAGTGTGTTTCGGTGACGGTTTTAATAAAAACAGCCGCGTAGCGCTTTCCGCCCTTCCCCTCCTGTTTTTGCCCGCTGTGTTGCTCCCCCGGGCGCCTGAGGTGAAGATGAGGGAGGGCGGGGGTTGTGGAGTTTTCCCGGAGTTTTGGGGTTTGTTGGTGGGTTTGGAAAGTGAGTTATGTGCAGTGTAATGGAGTGGTGAGACGGAAGAAAATCCACATAGGGACAGCAAAACTGGGGAAAAAAATTTTCTAAGAATACTTCAGGGGAATGCCCCCATCAGGTGTCAGCTATTATTGAGGTAATAAACACTTAATTACTCACCTACTGCAAATGGAAAATAATCCAAAAACTATTGGTGTTTGTAATTGCAATAGAAGAATGAAAAACGAAATGATGAGGGGAGTGGTGGTCCTTCCTAGTGTTAGCATAGCTCCTATAAAATGTTGGCTCTGGTATGTGTACAGTTCAGAATTCCTGACCTTCAGGTACTCTAAGGAATGAGCTCACCTCCTCCTGCATGAGGTAAAAACGTGTCTCCATCCCTGTCTGTTGTTTCCAGGAAAATACTTCCCTCATAAATCATCTTTCTTGTTTTTCAGGAGTTTTTAGACTGCAGCAAAATGCAGATGACTTGACCGTGAAAACTTTTGTCGTCTCTGAAAGTAATATTTTATGAGCTACAGTTTTATCAGTGCTGCGTGCTCTTACTTCAGCACATTATCCATCTTGTGTGGAGCTGCAGGTAAATCACACTCTTAAGCTAGAGAAGTAAAATTAAGAGGCAAATTGTTATAAAATGAAATTTTGTTCTCCTATTTTTGTCAAAATACTTTTTTTCTTATTTAGTGAAGGTTGCAGTAAATTGCAGATAAGGTAATTAACCAAATACTGAAAATACAGCCTGTTTAGAAACATGATAAAAAAAGAGAAAGTTACTCAATACTTAAGGATCTGATATTTTTCCTACTGCTCTTCATCTTTATGTAGATTCATAACCAATGGAAGGAAAGTGTTGAAACAACTCAAAGTTATATATAGGGGTATTAATAACCTAGTGGTCTTTATTTTACTCTCATTTAAATTCCGGATGTTTGCTTTAACTGGTGTGAAAACCAAAAAAGTGAGTGTTGTAACTGAGAGCACTGGAGGAAATGATAGTTCTGATGCTGTGCATTTACACTGTGGGCTTTAATATTCAGTTGAGGTTGTCCTGGTTGATGGCTGCTTTGGTGACCTGTCTGTGGGAAAGGCCATGCAAGCACAGGATGGTCTGGATTGAGAGGGGACTGAAAGCCACAGGCATGGACACCTTCCACTATCCAAGGTGCTCCAAGCCCTGTCCAGCCTGGCCTTGGACACTGCAGGGCTTGCATGTGTTCAGTGTTTTTCCAATAAAAATGTCTTGAAAATTTCTCAAGGATGAAAGAGCAAGGGACAAGCAGAATGTGCGCTGGAAAGTGAAATAAATCCCATGGACCTGTCTGCAGGGTTGTGCAGTGTCACATTCAATGTGACGGTGACGCTCAGATGTTAGGGCAAGGTCTGGCAAACAGGAACACATTCAGCACAGTCTCGTGTTTAACTGAAAAAGCTCAGTTTAATGCAACCTGGGTTTTGATTTAGTAAACAAGCCAATGTTACATTTAAATGACCTTGTGCCAGAAGGACACATGTGATGTGACATTAAGCTCCAAAGCAGGTGGTACAATAATTTGCTGAATTGAGTGTAAAATGAAGCATAACTTACTGTGTCACCTCTTTATAGCGAGGGTCTGAGGTGTTAACAAACCAAGTAAATAAGTGTTTTTAATTGGAAAAGGTATTTTGCTATAGCAGTTCATATTTAACAGCTTGTGCTTTTAAATAATAGATTGAAGTCAAAGATCAGCTGAAGTTGCACTAGATTTTTTTTTAATGTGTATGTGTTATCTCACTTAGGAACAATGACCATCTGGTTGAAAATAGACTATTTTAGAAAAAATACCTTTTGTGTCCCATGTCTGTATTTAAAGAATGCCTGTTGAGTATTGGGTTTGACAAGCCATTACCACAGGGAATTTTTTCAGCATGACTTATCAAACTTTATGGCGTCAAGGGAAGAAAGAGAAGCTTCATTTTCGGTATTCTTTAGGATGCTATTTATTTGATGAAACTATTATGCCATAAAAACTGAAAGATTTGTGGAAGGATGATGGTCTCTGGCAATGTTTATCCACATAAATCACTTCCTTTCTTAGAATCAGAAGTGTTTTATATAAAGCATGAAACACAAAGAGCAGAAATCCAGGAGTTAAACCAAAGCACAGTATTAAATAAAGGCACTGTTGGGAGAACATGGAAAGAGAATGTTAATGTGGGCCTGAGAGATTGAGTCTTCTTGCAATGCCCTTTTCCCCTGTTTGTTCCACACAAATCACCCCCACACAGGCATTCTTCAGGAGGAGGAATATACAACAAGTGATGTCAGGTTGGCTCTCAGAATTCCCTCATTTCAGACAGGAAGAGGTTGTTGGATAATGGGAATATACTCTTGGAGTTTGGAGAATGTATTATAAGTCTGGTGGACAAACCCTCTTGCTTCTTGACCAGCTAATGCAAACCCTTTTCCTAAGGTGATTTGCATCTCACTGCAAGCTCCCATTATTTTGTTCAGAAGTAGAAATGTGGAACTCATCAGGCAAATGTGGATATGCTCATTTGTTGAAGGAAGGCAAGTCAAGAGTTGGGTGTGAGGTTCCGTGAAACTGATTTTCTAATGTCTGGAAGGGTTTTGGCTTTGTGCAGGGGTCTGCAGCTCTGTGCTGCCTATACTGAAAATGCCTGATGTAGATTAATTTTCAAAAATAATCTAAGTTTCAAGAGGTTGTCAAGTTTCTGATCCAGGATTTTTTTCACCAGGATGACTACTACAAACAGCCAATTAGATGTTTAAATTATACTGTCTTTGTAAACTGATATTGTAAATATCTTATAATGAGGTACTTTCCCATTTCTAGTCTAAGCTATCTGTAACTAAGGGCACATCTGTATTTTTCTTTATTTTCTCCCACTGATCAATATTTAGAAGTTAATTACTCAAGCAAATTTACTGTGGTGCTACACTGAGTGTCAGCAGGAGCAGTTTGTGCCAGAGGCCCTTCTTGATGAAGTATTTCTGGACAGTGGGACTGAGGAGGGCAGTTCTGCCAAAGCTTTGGCACCTCTCAGGATTCTCATAAGAATTGAGATGATTCAGATAAATGTCAGAAGGGATTTGCTGGCTGCTGGAATTAGACAGTTGTGTGATGCAGGGTTTTCTTTTGATATCAGCATGGTGTTAAAGGGGCTCACTACCTTGCAAACTGGAACCACCAGTCAGTCAGCTGAATTCAAACACTGATGGTTTTCTGTTTACATTCACTGAAAAACAGGAAATTTGGAGATCCTGGGGAAGAGACCCACTGGGTGCAAAGAATGGCATTTGATTTATTATTATTTTAATTGCTAAGGGAGAGTATAACTAAAGTCCCTGGAGCAGTCTTCAAAGGAAGAAAGATAAATATTGAAAAATGTTATTTACAGCCTTTAGTGTTTCATCCATGTAAATACAAATTTAAATACAGGGATTGATCGCATCTGCTGGAGTTTCTCCTTCACAAAAGCACTGCTGAAGAGTCAAACACAGCTGCCCAGAAAATGGTGGAATGCAAGGACTTTGTGGTGCCTCCATCCAAGGGCACATCCTGATCTCCTGTTCCCATGCTGGCAGAGCATGACCAAGGATGGGCTCCTGCCAGGCTGGCCTGGGGTCCTTAATGGCCCTTTGAAGTGTGCCAGCATGAAGTGCTCAATTTATATTTTGGTTTGGGATGATGCTATCTGGCTCGTGTAGCTGCAGTCTGATAAAGTGTCTAAGGCCTGCAAGAAGCAGGGTAAGGATTTTCTTTGAGCTGCTTGCCATTTTCCCCTCTCTCTGGCTGTCCTGAGGTGACTTTATGATGCTGGTATCCCCAGTTGTCTGTTCTGTTTATGCTGATATCAAGTTCTGCACCTTTAAGACTTGTTCTGAGAGAAGAGGGAAGAAGAACCGTGGAGTTTGTTATCAGAAGCTGCACTTGCTCCCCAGCATGCTTCTCCTAGACTGCGTTGGCTGCAGTGGACAGCAGGAGAGAGCCCTCCTTTGCTTTTTAGTTAGTTTTTTTTTTGCTAGCTAAGGCAGAGAAGTTCCCCAAACTGTGGTTTTTATTTTTTCTTAGAACTGTTCAAACCTGCTCTAGACTAAAAACCCAGAAAAACCCCAAAAGCTCACACCTGTAGCTCACCAGGCCTGAGATGCTTCATTCCAGCACCAGAGGGACTGATAACAAACAGAGTGAGCTGAGCTACACCTCACAAAAATACTTTCTACATTTGTCATGTCTTCAAAACATGACAAACTTTGGTTGTTTTGTATTGTTCATTTTTTATGCTAGTAAATATTATATGTATTAAATAAACAGGGGTTTTCCTGCTTTTCTCCAAAGAAATCTTTTCCAAAACCAATTAAAAGAACTTATATTTGCTTTCTAAAATACCCCAATTCAAAAGTTTCCTCCAAAATTTGCCTTAAGCCAGGACACTGGCTTCTCAGCCTCCCAAGCTGATATGCTGACTGCAGTTAATCACTCTCTGATGGAGTTTACTAAAAAATATCCTGATTAGTCTAAAAGACTTTAGTCATTTTTCCTTAGATTATTTCGAGAAGCAGCTGTGCCACTGCTCTTAGGTTGAAAGGGACACTGTGATCCATATTGGGGGTAGTTATGCACAGCAACAGAGAAGGGGAATGACTTCTTACTTGACTTAACTGTAGTCAGAGAAGATAATCTGATCTACTCTGTAGGCTTAGAGATAATTTTCTAGTAGATGAAAGAGATTCTCCCCTAAGTATTTATTAGTATATGCTTGGGATACACTTAAAACACATCTGATGGATAAAATTCGGGATTAAGATCATGAAAAAGAGAAACAGTTTTTATTGACAAAACTGATATTAAACATGCCAGAGGAGGTGCTTTGTATCCCATTCCAACTCTAAAATCATCTAAAGTGGGCTCTTTTAGAGTGGTTCCTTTATCAACTGTGGTTGTTCTGGGTGCAGTCAGTGGCTCCTCTGAGCTGTTTGTCAGGGGAGGATGATGTTTCCTGACTGCCTGGAGCTTGGTTAAAAATCTGCAAGATGATGATTTGAATATGTTGAATGTGAAGCTGGTAAATAACTGTGTTTCATTTCAATTTTGTCATAAATGAGGAGGGAAATCTGAAGCAGTGCATTTCTAATACACAAATATAATGAATGGTGTGTTGTGTGTTATAGCTGTACTTGCCATTCCTCCTTGTTGATATGAAAACTGATCAGAGAAAAAAAAATCAGAACTAGAAGTTTTCTCTCTCTCCATCTCTGTGCCACTGCTAAGCCTCACAAAAGCCCTCTCCTGGTTTCCATAGAAATGGCCCCTGATTTGAGGTAAAGGTTCACTTCCCTTTTTTCTTGTATATCTAAAGTCTGGGTTTCCTGAGAGATTATTTTATCCTCTACATCCTTCATGTATAGAAGGGCAACCCAGGTAGAGGGCCTGATGAAACTGGAGAAACTTCCTCTCCCAAGGAAAAAAAAAAAAGAATTTATTTGACTGAAGAAAAGAGAAAAAAGGCTTGTGTGTGTCACGTGCATTTCTGTGAATGTGAACAGAACCAGCTCTGTGTGTGCACGTTCCTCAATGTGCTCTTGCTCCTATAATGTCCCTGTGATCCCACTGGTAGATCATTGAGCAAATTTAGGAGATCCTGAGTTAAAGCCATGCAGATGTCTCAATTTCTCATCGGGCTGAGTTTTATAACTATTTATGTACACAAGATTTTCTGTTTACAGTTTGTTTGCTTTAGAATACACCCATTTCTTTGAGCCATATGATAGGAGATGACTAGAAAATATATTAGGGAACCACCCACAAAATGTTTACAGTGAGTAAGATACAGGATTTCTTCCTAGTTTAGTTTGAGACATTTATGTCTAGACAGATAAAATTCAAAATTTAGTTCTGATGAGTGTTACTGTTGTAACTTCCAACAGAATTGCTTTCATGGAGTTACTCTAACAGAGTTATTTTAAAATAAACGGGGAATCGTGTGGCATATCCTCAAATGTGTTATCTAGTGTTTTGAATCCAGATGCTGAGAGCTTTGACAAGTCCTGTCCGTGGATGGAGTCCAGTGCATTATTGATGCTCATTGACACAAAAAAAAAAAACCAGAATTTATTCTGCTGTTTCTGAGAGCAAGAGTTTGATGTTGAAATAAGTGATACATGATTTTCATAATGCTGTTTTCTGTTTGTGTTCTGCTTTTTTCCATTTTTATTACCTTTGCTCCCCTTGACATTTTCAGGAATATTAAATCTTCCCAATAGAGCTGTTTACTTCTATACCAGCAAAAAGGTCATTTAAAGAAATTCCAAAGAACAATACTACTGAAGGGCTTGGGGATTTTTTTAGTGCTTTGGGTTTTCTTTCTGCTTTTGCTAGACTCATCACTTGTCTCTGAGATACCATTGCTACCTTCTCACCTGCCAACATGGAGGAGTAATTAAAGCAAACCCCACTGTGATCATGTCCTTAATTTATGCTCTTTCAGGAGTGCCCATGAAGTGAACATTTCTTTTGTGATTGCTCAGCTGCAGGTGACAGCTTCAAAATACCCTCTCAGCTACTTTGGCAGGGTTGTTGCCTTCAGCCCCAAATAAGTGTCAGGGATAAAATCAGTGGCCTGAGACTGTTCCTGTTTCACTTCCAATGTTTACAGACATCAAGCAAATTCTTTATTTGCTTTTTGGTGGTTTGCTTGTAGTAACAGTTCTGTTTCCATTCCATTTGTGCTCGGATTTTTGAGTAATAGTATGTGCAGTCCTAGAAGATTGAGGTAATACTTGTCTTCCAAATTTTCTAGCATTTCCTAATGTATATGAGAAATTGCTGTATTTCTTACAGTGGAACAAATTTTGGCAAGTTTGGTATATTCTGTATCTGTAACTATTGCTTGAATACAATCCCACAGGACAGAGATGATATGTGTTATTTAATTAAATGCAATATGTTGGTATAGCAACATTATTATGTTCCTTGAGCATTTAAAAGTATTTTAAATGGTTTTGCCATTTTCAAAAAGTAGCATCCTTTTCAGTCCATTTAAGTGTAAATATTTATTAACATCTACGATTTCCTCTAATTATATAAATGGAACAAACCCAACTCACCCAGATGGTTATATTTTCTGCAATAGAACTCTATTTTATAATCAGTTCTCTTAGTTTGCTGTGTATATGGATGATCAGACTAGAACTACCTGTACTGAATCTTCAGCTGGATCATTCTTTGTGGCAGTGTCTGAAGCAAATTACCTGCTAGCAAAGATACCGAGAGATGAATCTTAGCAGCACAAAGTCCCTGAGATTTTTGCAATAATTAAAATAGTTTGGTTATAGGCTCAGATTTCCTGCTTAGAAATCAGCACTCTGAAGGCAGATAAATGAAAATGGTCCCTTGGGAAGTTGAGTTTCCAAGGTGGGGAGTGGCAGTGGTGGTGAAATCCATTCTTGCTTTTTCTTTTTTCCTGTTTTGGTTTTTTCCCTCTGTTCATTCTGAAACTATGACTTGATGAATGTCATTAGGCTGTAATCCATTTATTCCATGTGGTGGTGGGAACAGAGAATTTGACAGTTCATTTGGACTGAGTGAACCAGAGTCACTCTGAGCTGAGCCCCCGCTGCCATCAAACTGCGAGATTTTCTTCTTGATCATTTTTCTCTCTTTTGCTCGGCGATTCTGGAACCAGATTTTCACCTGGAGCATTATAAATAATACCTGATTAATTCAAAGTGCTGCTCAACCTTTTGCAGTAATCATAGCAATGGAAATGTAGGTAGGTTCAAAACCAATATTTAAAAAACCCAAACCAAACAAACAAAAAGCCATGAGCAAAAAAAGCCCCAAAGCTAAAACCAAACCAAGAAACCCTCCACAAACAAAATACTGAATTTGTGCAGTGAAAAGTTTTTGCATTATTCTGTATTAACTTTTGGCATAATAACCAATGGAAAATTGATTTTTCTTGATTTCCTTTTTTTTTCTTGGGCCTTTGGTGTAAAGTGAACACACTGTGTTATATTTAGGAACACAGAAGTCAATGAACTCATTGAGACTCAGGCCACAGAGTTCATCATTTCAGCTTTGCCATTGTCATAATTTAGAAAGATGCAATTATGGGATTAATTGTGAAGATTTCTTTATTATCTATGTTACAGATTAATTCAAAGCCTAGTAGTGAGGGTTCTTTTTCTTAATTTATGTTGTGAGTGTTTTTGTGTGTGCTTATATTCTTATGTATTTAAAAGTTTTGACTGTTTTTATTACTGGAATATATATTTCAACATGTATTTTACAGATACATATGTACTATTATATGTATGAATAGATATATCAGCATTAAAGACAGTCAATTTCCCGGGCTCATTGTGCAGGTGAAAGACTTATCTGTTTAAAACCTACTTTAAGTATCTCTATTTTCTTTCCTTATGTGAAAGTGTGAATGAGGAGGAACTTTGTTTGCATTTTCCTGCTTGCTAACTGTGTTCTTAATTCACAGTATCTGTTACAGCCTTTAAGATATGTTGAATACAATACAATATAGAAAGTTGTACCCTTGCTTTGTATTAAAAATCTCAGTGTTTTACATTTATTTTTACTATCTTGCTGTTATTGGTATGAAGAAGCATTAGCTTTGTCTGTCCTGTGGAAATGCTGATCAGTTATGTATTTTGTCTGTATTATACTTGAAGGAACTTTACCAGGTAAAAATGGGGTGGCATTAGGAGCAGCAGCTCTGTGAAAGAAAACTGCTGATTTTCTGCAGGATCACTGGTGACTGCAGGCATGTCTGTGTTCTAAATCAGCCAGCTTGCAGAACATTAAGGTGGAGGTTGCAAATCTCAGAATTGCAGTTCTCTGGAAATTTTCCAGTGCAGCTCTATCCTACTGTGTGACAAACTTAGTCCATCCATGATAAACTTGGTTTTTGTTGTTCCTGCCTGGGAGCACTCACAGTCTGTGCAGTGCACTCAGTACTATATAGGTCTGGGACTGAACATCACTGCACTAAAATATGTTTATAAAATCCCAGTGCTTGATCCTATTGATTGTCTCTGCATTCCTACACTTCCAGCCTCCATTGGTCCCTCTCTATTCCATGGTCTTCCACAGACTGAGTGCAGAATCAGAGGAGGCCACTGAAAGGGAAACATTTTAAGAGACCTGAATGTGTATATTTAGAAAGAACAAAAGCTTGTAAAATTCTAAAAAAACCTCTAGTTAATACTTACGTCAGGGCAATATTCTGCTTTTTAAATGAGATGACTAATTCAGTGTCACCAAATCTGCCCTTCTCCTCTAGCTGTAGCAGAACCATTGAAATTCTGGAGGCTTGGATCCAGCAGTTATTATTTCCACACATTGCAAAACTGTGCTTGGGAGAAATGCTCTCCAACACAGGGATTTTAGGGAATTCTCATCCCGAGTTCCTCTAGTGTCTGTATGAACATGGCTAACATATCTGTGCCCTGCTCAGGAGCCTGGCTTTATCCAGGACAGAGATTAAATATGTACTAGACATGAGTGAAGGCAGAGCTGCTCTCCAAGGGAGCAACGATCCAAATATGCACTTGAACATTCCCTGGATGGATAGTGTTGGCTACACATATGAGTGGCAAAAAGAGATCCTGACTTGAAAATCCAAGACTGTAAAACCCCCCTGAATATGCTGAAATCTGACAGAGGAAGAATGTGGCCTGTGGAAATTGTGGCAATATATTTGTAACAAAAGCCCCCATAGATATTTCATTGGATTGAGTTCTAATTTTCCTGTCTTCCAGCTGAAGTATATCAAATGCTTTGGATTTTTTGCTGGCCATTACTTGGTGTGATTTCAAGAAGAAATAAAATTATGAATGTTGTAACTCTTTGGACCATAGCTAAGACCCTGTTAAGCTGAAGTGTTTAAATTCCAGCTGGCTATCAAGCTATAAAGTAAGAATAACTACTTTTTAAAGTATGAGTTAACTCCTAATGTCGAGTTCCATGTAACTGGAGGGTTCTGTCAAATTAGCCTGTTAATAACTGTGGGGTTGTGCAGTGGATTCTCTGTGTGTCAAACGCAGAGAGGCAGGAGGTGGCTGCCTCTGTGTCCCCTGGCAGTGCCTGGGCACTGTGGGCACACCTGAGGGGTGCTCTCTGTACCTGTCTTTCCGAGAGTCCCAGGTTTGCTGCGAGTTCTGACTTCCTCCTGATTGTGATGTATCTGTTGCAGTGAAATTCCTTCTCTAATTCCAGTCTCTGGTGATCTGTGTAAACAACCCGGTACTTTTCTTTTGTTCTTGTTTTACCTGGTTAGAAAAGAAAGATTATTCATACATTGAGTTGGATTTTCCATAGCAGCTTGCAAACATCTCGGGCATTTCCCAGACATTAATTAAACTACAGAATACTTGTATGAGATTGTTTGCTGTGGTACAGAGGAGGAATAGAGGTGCAGGGTGAAGTAACAGACTATTGGTTACCATAAGTGTCTTCCCTCTTTATTTCCCCTCTCTGTAAACATGTATATAAATGGGAAGCTCTTAAGTGATAAACACCCTGAAGCATTTTAAATAATTCACAGCAGTACATAATTGGTGCTGGCTATATTAATCTCAAAGGGGTTTCATTTCAGTGCTCAGTGAAGTGACTTCTGTGTCTATGAGAGCATAAATACCCAGGATTTCAAGACTGAGCTTCAGTCACAATTTGTGCAGTTGCACTGTGGCCTAATTCTTGATCTGAGTTTCTAAAGATTGCTTCTTTAGCACAAAGGTATGTTCTACTCGAAATGCTTTTCCTTTCTTTTGTGGCCATAGGATGAACTTAAAAGTTCAATAATAATTTAATGTACTTTCTCAAAAAGGTCCAGTCTTGCAAGGTGCTGAGGGCCTGTAGGATATTCCTGAGGGTACTCTGTGCTGGACTTCCCTTTAGAGTTGGAGGTACTTGACAATTTGTAAGATGAGGCAATAAAATCTTGTAAAAGGATTTCAGGATCATCCTCTCTCTAATGTATAAAAGAAATATTCTTAGATATACTGGATAAATACTGTTAAGAGAAGCATTACTAAATGTATAGAATGTATTTCTCATTTAATATCATTTTTAAGCAATTCTTCAGGTAATAATAATCCAGAGAGATCAGTTTTCAATTTATTTGTTCTCCTTTGCACTTTCAACAGCCAACTAGATAGTTTTCCTTTTCTCTTCTGATCTTCCCAGTTTTTTTTTGATGTGAGTTTTCTGGGACAAACTGTGGGACAAAGACTCCTTTAAAGTGGTTCCCTAAAATCCATTGAGGTGTTAAGATGAAGCACACGCCACACAAAGGAGCGACAAGGAGATCTTATCAAGAACCCCTTTCACATTCAGAAACACAAGCCAATTGGTTTGGAATTTACAAGCCCTAAACAAATGTCAGACGCTTTCATCTTAGCAGAAGAAAAAGGGACAGAAATAGATGAAGGAATATTTTTGCCTCAGTTCTCTTTAATTTTGGACCGACACCGAGGACAGACTGGGATATTTTTATCTGAAGGTAGACATAGCTGAAATAAGCATAATTAGGGATATTTTCCCAAATTCTATGCCACTTCAACTTTCCAGCAGAGAAGATTTTCCTGCCTAAATTTGCAGGACTGAATCATTCAACTAAGTTTACTTTTTGCATGGTACAAATTGTTGGCTTTGAAATATTTGCCCTCGGTGATAGTTCTAATGCTAACAATAGTATAGATATTCAGGTTCCTTGTAAACTGAGGGCTTAGAGGGAATCTTTGAAAACAAGTTAAAATTCAACAAGGTTATTCCGGCCTCACTATAATCAGCAAATATAACCATGATTTGAGGGGGTGGAGAAAAGGAGTAGTTTTCCCCATTCCCCTTGGTCATAAAATTCACAGAGTATTTCTTCTGAAGACAATAAAGCTGGGAGAAGGCCTCTTTATTTGCTGTGAAAATCATCACCCTTTCCGGCAATATAACTCCTGAAGAAAAGAGGGAGAAGGAAGAGACAAGACTGCATATCAAAGCAAAGTGAAGTGTTAAAAGGGTCTGTTGCCTCAATATGACAGATAGGCCTCAAAACCTCAGACAATGTAGGCCAGTGGAAAATAGATGTCACAACTAATTTACAAAGAAAAATAAATTAGCATTAAAGCAGGGGCCTGGCCTTTTTTCCTGCTATTCTGTTTTGCTTTCTGGCCATGTTTCTGCTGTTCTGTAATCTGAATTAATTGTACGTCACAGCTTGTTTAAATAAAGACATAAAGTGTGTTGGCTAGAGTTTGAAAAAAAATCCTGTGGCTGAGCTTGTAACATGAAAATCATGTTGATCTTTTGTTTAGTCCTGTTAAAGTCCCTTCTCTTTCTGAGAGGGGTCACTCCCAGATGAAGTTTCAGATGAAGTTTTAAACCCTTTTTCTAGGCCCTTTAGATACCTTTTCAGTAAGTTTAACACCTTGAAGGTTCTCTTGTTCTCAGAAAATCTGCATCTTACCCTGTTGATTACACAGAGTTGAGAAAATAATTGGAAGTTCTGCTCCAGCATATCTGAAGTGGATGGCAGATTTTTTCATAGATTTTCAGTAAAACCAGGATCAGACTGTCAGGAATTCTTTAGATGTTCTTTTCCTCACTTGGTGGGCCTGACTGGGAAGGTCTCTTCACCAAGCCCATTTCTGGTTTTTTAAACAAATTCTTTTTGCTTTGTATATTTGCCATGTTTGTGTGTTTGAAGTAAAACAAGGGTTGGTTCTGAATATACAGTTATGGTCCTTTAGTCAGAGGATATTTAATTTCAAATCACATTTTATCTGTTGAAAGGACAGAGTACTTCTGTCTTTGAATCTTGTTTCATCCTGAAGATTGACTTGATCAGGTAAATTTTCATTTCACTTTACCTGCAATTGAATTTTGTTTTGTATCATGCTAAATAAGAATATTGAATCAGAAAGTAGTGTATTTAATAGAGTCTAAACAGAGAGGAAACAATTCCCACTGACATCTCCTCACTCAAAACAATTCCCACTGTCTTTAGGACAGTATTTCAAGAGGCTCTCTCATCTAATTAGATGTGTTGTTGTTTCTGTTACTCTGTTCTGCTCACGTACACTGACGTGTGTACACACTGGTGGATTTAACATGTGTATGTTTCTGCATGGAAATGTATTCGTAGAGTTTAGGGCTGTCATTCTGGGATTTTAAAGCAATGAACTTTATTAAGCAGTGATAACATTGAAGGAGAGGAACCAGTAGCTACTTTGATAACCCAAATAATATTATGGCAATAAGGAAAAACAGCAAGTGTGTTTCAAAGAGGGGTTATAATGGCATCAAGTCAGTTTTCTTCTAGAGAAAACACTGATAAGGTGGTACAGAGCAGTTAGCTGCATAATTTTAGCCTTGTAATTTATTTGAATTCTCTTCCATTTTTCACAATTTTTTCCGTGTCAGGATTAAAATTTTCAGGTTTGGTTTGGTTTTTTTTTTTGTTTTTTTGTTTCTTTGGGTTTTTTTTTTTTTTTGACACCAATGAAAAGCTAAATATCTTTGGTAACTTTTCTTGTTTTGCACAATTCCCACATTTGTGCTTCACTCTCACGATCTCTTTTTTTAAGGTGGGTTGATGCCTTGAGCTCATTTCTGTGAAGTCCTTGGCTGTTTTTAACACTTCAAAGGATTGGGTTCTAGGAATGCACAGCCTAAGGACATGCAGCTATTGATGGGCTCTGTTCCACCTGTCCCGAATGGTTCATAAAGTATTTCAGAATGTGTGTAAATCCTGTGTGAGCACTTTTGAGACTAGACATGAATTTAGGCCCAAAACAGTGTCTCTGAATTGCAAATATATTTTATAACTTTGGACAAGCACATGAGAAACCTTTCAGGGTCTTCCAAGACTGTTCAATGAGTGTAAAGCAAAGATTTGGATTTTTAAGTGTGTTAAACTTTAAGAATGCTATTCTTCAAGAATGCCACACATTGAAAATTCAGTGCCAACATGACACAGCCAGGGCTGCCTCATTGACATTCAGTAGTCTCAGCTGAATTTGATCTACACTCAAGTCTTGCATCACTTCTACACCTGGCAATCTCCAATGATGTTAATGAAGTTACTGGAATTTACATGAGTATACAGAAGGGGGGAAAGCAGACTGAATCTGCCTGGCTTTGAAGGCCTTTGTAGAGGCTCCAAGTGAGAGGAGAGCATTGTGATATCCTAATGTTCACCAGGCATTTTATATTTAGTAACAGAGGCAAAACAATGTGTGCCTGCTTTATAATTAAGAAACAATTACCAGGCTAATTTTGCTCCTGAGTAATAACCATTTGAAGGAGGATTCTGTCTGAAGCAGCAGTGCCGATTTTCTGTGTTTTCTAAGATTGCTCCAATTGCAATGGCTCTGCTTTCTTTTGAGTATTTCTTTGTTGCTCTCTAACACACACTTATTACTTTTAACCTGAACCACAGATTTAGCAAACCTTGCTACACGCGGTTTCTACCTTGGGAATATACATGGAAAGGTTCATCTGTCAGGTAGCTTGTGGCAAGAACAGGCACATCAGTGAGTGCCACTTCCAGAAAAGAGATTTTTAATTGTGTAATTGTGGAAGCTGAAAAATTCTGGCATGTAAGGAAAGTAAAAATGATGTGAAATTAAATTAAAAGGAAGTTTAACCAAGGAATTATGTGATCTGCAAACAAAATAGTCTGTGCTGATTGTTTGAGTCAGATTGTTTCTCTAGGAATATTTGTGCTCACCTAATAAATCTGGGCAGAAAAATATGAGACACAGGAAAATTGCAGAAAATTGCATAATCACTGCAGTTAGATCAGAGCACATGGTTTTCTTTATAATTATTGAGACATCCATAAGCTTTAAGAAGATCAACCTGATTCTGTATTGATATCTCCCCTGCAGCACAAAATAACTATGTAGTATTTCTGTCTGTAACTGTTAAATGTTGCTGCATTGCTCCATAACACCTCTATGTTTATCACAAAAAATGCTTTACAGAGTGTTCCAGTGGGGATTCCTGGAGCTGAGCTCCAGCTGTGACCACATCAGCCATTCCACTACAGCAACCACAGAAAGCCTTTATGGGAGAAAGTGAAACTAGCGCAAATTTAGTTAAAACTGCATTAAACAGCAGTAGGTTAAATAAATGTCATAAATGACCCACCAACCTATGTGCTTCAAGTAAAGTTAATTATTTCTAAGCTCAGTGATAGCAGAAGATGCTTTCTGAGGTTGGAAGTTGAATTTGCACTCACCAGCAGTGTTGGTTTGCACCGTTTTCCTCATCCACTCATAAGAGCTGTGCCTTTGGCTGTTGGGAGAGATTTGCTGGGCATTAATGGTATCTACAGGAGGTAAGGCCGCAGCAGCAGCGGGGTGCAGGGAGCTGTAATCAGCAGAGCTGTAGGAGCCCTGGCCAGGGGACGAGCCATTGATGTGGGCAGCGGGCCCGGCGCTGGAAGGGCCTGGGCCGTAGGCGCTCCAGTCCTCGCGCTGGGGGCCGTAGTGGGAGCCCCAGGCCGGCTGCCCGTGGCTGTCCAGGGCTGGCACAGGGTGGTATCCCATGTACTCGGAGTAGGCTGGAGCAGACACGAAGTTCTGCACGGGCAGGGTGTTGTTGGCCCTGGCAGGTCCTGGGTACATGCTGGCTTCCTTCTCCAAGAGCGAGCTCACGTACATGGCTGTCCCGGCTGTAAACACGGCGTCACAACATCTTGGTCCTCGGTGTCTTCTTTTACTGCTCAAAAATATTTGTGTTTGGTTTTTCTAATAATGCCACTCTGCTTGGAATCTTCTACTTCATCCTCTTTTATTATCCACTGTGTTACCAGGTGCTGGTGGTAATGGTTTACCAAGATCTTGTCTGACGTCAGCCCAACTGCCTGCCTCATAATTACATTTACATTCAAATGAAGGGCTGACCAACCCCACCTTGCTGCTGGTTCTGGTGCTTTCTCTTTCAGAGAACTTTTATCTATCCTATTATCCTGCCCTGATATTCAACAGTGATCCCAGTCCTGTAAGATGATGCAACAGTTGCTTAGATTTGTAACTTAAATAGTTATGTAAATCTATCTTTTTAAAAGAAATTAGAGTGGTAACTATAATAGCAATGTTGAACATTCTTCTTGTCTGAAACCTTTATTTTGTCATGTATTATCAATCAACAAATAAATCTGTTACTCTCTTAATTTCTCATATAATTAAAAAATCTCCTTTTTAGTCTTTAATGGATACAGTCAATTTGAATAATTGTAATTCAATAACTTCAAAATATAGAGCACCTTGTAAACAGCATGTCTTGAGTATAAACGTCTCAAAAATGTTCCTCACATTGTTGATGTTTGTAAGAGGTTTTCCAGAATAGGAGAGTTTAAACCTCTGACTGTAAGACACATACTCACACTCTTCCCATACAGAGTGATTTAAGAGATCCCTTCATCTGGTGGCCGTTGCAAACTGATAAATTTTAAAAAGCAGACAATAAATCTTCCTAACAAAGATGGTGCCAGAAGTACAAAGAAAATGACTGTAAAAAGTAGTGAAAAAAGTCTTTGATTAGGCCCAGGAATATTGTTGGCTTCTGTTTCAAGCCAACCTTTATCTGCCTGAAAGGAGGCTGGTTCCTTCCTCTGAGGCTGCTGGCTATAGTCTGCTTTCCTTGGCAGCTTGGGCCAGGGAGATCAGCAGGGAGAGACATCTGGGTTGTTGAGTTTGTGAATCAGAAGTGCCCTGATGCTGCTCTGTGACACACGGGTGCTCCCTGAGTCAATGTTCCTGTCCCTCTGAGAAAAATGATTCTAAAAGTGACTTTATATCCTGCTACTAACAGCTTGTTGTTAACAGGAGAACTAAACCACACCCTAGGACTTTAGAATTGCCTCTCTGCGTAGTGTAGCTGCAATTTGTGGAGTGAATTCGCTGTATTTTTATTTTGGATGGGTTTCTTTGCAATGAGGTATTTGTAAGGGCTATGCTTGCAAAAGAGGTGCAAATTACAATGAGTTGTTTCCCTTTACAGAGGTGTGGGTTTTCATTCAGTATCCTTTGTATTTTGACACTGCTCGTATTCACACATCCCTTCTAATTCCAGCACTAAAGGATTCTAAGTGTGTACTTACAGACAGGAAAGATATTCCTCTTCTTTTTAGGACTGGGCTTTTTGGGGAAAGAATTTGTACTGAAAAGTGTAGCAAAATCTTTGTAATGAATTTTGGTATATTTACAGAATTCTACATTAAGCATTGGGATCCTCAGAATGTTGAAGCAAGTTGCATGGGATAGTGCATGATAAAAATAAGATCTTCTGTAATTGGTGTACCTTTAAAAAATAGGCATTAAAAATAAATTGAAAGAGGCTCTTATTCCCTTTCTCTTGAAAGACACAGAATTGTAACACAATTTTTGAAAGCCAGCAAAATTTTTAGTACTGAATGTCATCCAAATTAAGGAAGATTCGTTTCCTGTATCCTTGGTATATTTATCCTGTTTGTGAGCATTATCCCCCAGTTAAATTCCCCTGCATTGCTGCGTGTTGTGCAGGGCTGTCAGTCATAGGCAGATCCACAGAAGGGGAAGGTTTTGGCTCCATTGGCTCCATTTGCATCAGGGGTATCCATGAACATTGGCTGCTCAGAGATTTAAGCTCAGCCCCAGCCCCGTTGTTTGACTTCCCCCAAGCACACCATTTTCACATCCCTGTGAATGATGTAAACTCATATTCTGCAGTAGATGATGGGAACATTTTAAATCCCTGGGGTTCCTCTTGCTTTATGGGATGTCTCTGCACATACCCCCACAATTTCAGTATCACTTAATCATATTTTTGTATCTCAGAGCGTTATCCTTTATTCTCTGTTCTTCTTTTATCTTTTGTTTATGCTCCTCCTTTCCCTTTCTTGTTTTGCCTGTTCCATTATCTGAATTTTCTTCAGTTCTATTTCGATTCTTTCCAGAACATAATTAGATCAAGATACTCTGATGGCAATTTGCTACACTGATTTGATATCAGCTAACAATAGTAAGCTTTGAATAAGGCATTTTGTTTAAAAAGATTTACATAGCAGGATAAGATTGCTGAGGAGGACTGCAGATTTTTAACACCAAAGTGAGAATAAGATAGCTAAAATGGCAATGTTCAAATGATCTGCACCCAGGGTCTGATATCTCCTATTTTGTGTAACAGAACAGGGGGGAGATATTAAAAAGGATCTGTACCTTTGCATGTTGCCTTGTAGTTTGAGGCTACCAAAATTTTGGGGTAGCTCTCTGTTTTCTGAGAGCTAATTGACTGTTAATCTGAGTCTGCCTTCCAAGGATCGTTTCTTGGCCATGCTCAGGCCCAGCATGTCAGCAGCTTCAGAGCCACAGAAACCACTGACCCTTCAGTGCAGTAACTTAGGCTGCAGTTCAGGGACGTTTCTGGTGGGCATGGCTTTCAGGGAGTACCAAAAAGAAGGGGAAAAGTGAACTGCCATTGCCTTGGATTGTGTGGGGCTGGCAGTGGCTGGAGTAAGGGTTTGGTGTGCTGCCTGTGGAAGTGCTGGTGGATCATGGGCCCTCTCTGGACTCTCTGGGGTGGTGGGGAAGTGAAAAGAGTTCTGAGGCAGTGGGCTGGATATCAGAAAGCTCTGCCATGTGGAGTCTTGCATTTGCACCATTTTCTGCAGAAACAGGATAGATCTGTGTGTCACCAGCAGCAGCAGTGCTGTGCTCCTTGGCAGAATTCAGAGAGATGGATTGCCAGGAAAACTGAACTCCAAGGTTGCTTTTTTTCTTCACCTGTTCAAATGCCAGGTGTAATTGATCTACTAAACCAGTGGCCATGGGAGTTGTCTCAGTGGTTGTTGAAGTGAAGTTTTATGTGTGTTAAATCAAATGTACTTTGAGATCTTCGGGGAAGAAAATTTTCTAACAAGTGGTTGATGAAAAACTATCAATAATAACAAGTGTGGTGCTCACCACTGGAACTCTAAAGGGTTTGTTTGTACAGGCAGTGGAGATGGTGCACTATTGTATAAGAGCTGTTCTAGAGAGCAATTCCACCCCAGTAATAATAACATAATCACAAACGTGCAATTAAGTGTTTTAATGACAGCTATTAAAACTGCAATTTCAGGACTACTGTTACTTTAAAACTTGCCTGTAGAACGATAACTTACATTAAAGGTGTTTACAACTCTGATAGTTTTTATTAGGAACTCTTACTCATAAAATTACTCTTCCTTTTATATGGAGATAAGAAGACAATAATCTGTCTGTTTTTGAAGCATGAAAATGATGTGAAATCTCTCTTGGTCTGGAGAATCAAAAAGCAGGTGGGCTGAACGTGTCCCTTTGTGGCTGAGGTGATAGGAATAGATGTTTTCTTGCCTCCAGATGACCACTCCAGTGACACTGCAGGCTCAGGAATGCTCCTAGCCCATGTTTTTAGAGCTGCGTGCTTGGAATTTCACGCTCAGGACTTTGTTAGGGAACTCTGTATTGCTGATTGTTCTAATGCAGTTTTTTGGAGGGGTTACTGACCCTGTATTCAAGCTGGGTTTGCATGCACATTCATTCCTCCTAAAATTCTTAGGCAGCAGTAGGAATCTTGAGGAAAGGTCAATCAGGACATGGTTTGTTGTCAGCTGAGGGCAGATCTGTTGGGAAAAAACCCAACTAGTGATGAAGTTGGGTTTAAAATCTTAAAACACAGCTAAAGAGGTGGCTTTTGCTTTTATTGAAGGTTCAACAAACACAAAGCTTCTGAAAATTTTATTTGCCCTTTTAAATTGAGCTTTTTTAATATACAGAGCCCTACTTAGGTCTCATTTTCAGGGCTTGAAATGCAAGCATGTGCACGTGGCAGATGTGGCACCGCTCAGAGAGCTGAATGAGCAGTGCTGACTGAGCTGTTCTCACTTGCTGAACTGAATCTGCTGGGGGAAAGGAGGAAGGGATATAGCACAATTTCAGTTCTGCCCTGTGTCTCTGATCCCTACTGCGGATCTGTTTTTCATAAGAGAGCAACAGAAGAAATAAAGATGCCAGCTGTCTGTGAAGCCTTCCTCAGTGGTATTTGGTTTAATTTCATGCTCTAAAGTTTTGGTTGTCAACAAATCCTTTTGAAAAAATGATGAAAAGTGGCTGGTAGAGAGCTGATTGCATTTACCCTTCTGTCTGCCCCACTTCTGTTTTTCTGACTGCTGCTAATGACTTATCTTTAATTTCTAAATGTTAAAATGTATTTTATTAATATATTTCATGGATAAACTGCATCAGTTTTGCCAGGAAGGAATGTCTGAAGCTAAAGGAGGGTCTTACTCTTCTGAAATCGAAATGATTTAACTTCCGCTTCAAAATCAATACTGACAGAAATAAGAGCATTCCTTACAGCTTCACAAGCTTGAATTCAGCAGGAGTTACAGAGCCTGTGTGTGAACCCCAGGGTAAATCAATTCTTTAGCAGCAGAACCATGAAAATGAGCAGCAACTCCTCGATTGCCATTGATTTGGTTCCTTCCCGAGCAGTGCAGGGCACTGAGCTGATCCCTCCTGCCCAGGTGTGGCTGGGTGGGACTGCTGGGTGCTCCCTGTGAATCCTGCAGGCATTATTTGGTGTTGTCTTTCCTGCAGGAGCTAACAAAGGAATCCATTGCCTTCCCTGTTTGCCTGCCACCGCAGCTTTCTGGTGCTGGCAGCCTGGCATTTCTGCCACACATTTAACTCTGGGCTTACTGTCCATGTAGAGTCTCTGCTCCCTCAGAGGGACTCTGTTTGTTGAGGCTTGGATGACCAAGGGGTGTATCTTAATTAATCCTCTCCATTTATTGTCAGACATTTATGAGCAGGTTTTTTTTTTTTTTTTTTTTTTTTTTTTTTTTTTTTTGTTTTTTTTTTGAGAATTGAAAGAATTAGTGCTCTTTGGGTGTGAAAGCAGCTGGCAAACATTTTCATCATAAAACCTGAGCCTATTTCTTTAGCTGGTAAGCTTTGCACAATATTGTGTCCAACTAACATCCAGTGCCATCTGAAATGTGACTGTGAGTCATTTTCAGGGATGTGTCATTTCAGTGCCCCTGGACCGCCCCAGCAAACCAAACAAGGGAGCTCAAGCAGAAATCTGCTTTTTAATTTTTATGGTAACATCCACAATTAATGTATTTTTGAAACTCCTTCTTGGGTAGAAGGTGACACATATTTGATGCTCTCTCCTATGTCCCTTAATGATTGCATAACTCCTAAGCAAGAATTGAAGATTTTTTTTTTTTGAAATATCATTTTGAATTGTATATTTTGCTTAATTGCAAGAAGATTTGGTAGAAGGTGCTGTTTGCTTGGTTTTTTTGTACCATCTAGATCACAGTTCTAGCTGGGAAACAGGGTTTAAACTTTAGTGAATTCCTTTGAAAATTGGATATTCCTTGATAGTTCTTTTAATCACAATTAGGATTAAGGGCTTAGATATTCCTGTGATGTAGCCTAAGGTATGCTTTTCTTCTTCAAGGCACTTCCCTAACAACCAATCAATCTTCACAGTACTCTGCTTTAGTGTCCTGAGTTTTCAGATGTGATAAAAGTGATGAGTTATTTGATACACCCAAAGTCAGGAAGAAAGTGAGTATTAGCCTGAGGATGGCACCAGTATTTCATAACCCACAGTAAATGTACCCAAATAATTTCAGCTGATTTGTCTGCAATTTTCTGTCTCTCTTATTTTTATTTGGACAGAGTACAGCAAGTTAACAGCACTGCACAAGCTTCTTAGAGAAAAATCATTTCCTTTGGGGTTTGGTGGGCAACTGTTTAAAGGATTAGAGCCCATTGGAAATACTTAACTGGGGAGATTGCTGGGAATTCTTACAAAAAAATCGAACTACTTAAAACAGCCACTGGCATAACTAGAAGGTTAATAATCTCTAAGGTATTGCCCTGGTTTATAGATACTGCTTTTGGAGCAATAAATTTTAACCTTTGAACATGTGCTTCTGCAAATAAAATCCAGCCTTATTTTGTGTACTTAACAACTTCTGATTGGAAACACATAGCAACCTATAGCAAGCATGCTTTCAGCAAACTGGAGCAGAAATGAAGCAGATCTTCAAAGTGGTCACTTATCTTCCTCAATAACTCTTCTACATGTAAACAAGATAAACCAGGTCGTTCTGCCAGATCCCACTCTCTTTGAATGATGTTTAAATAATTTTAAAGAGAAAGATGTTGTGTTCAGAAACATTTCTTAAAGTTCTTCCTTGGAGTACTTTTTTCCTTTTAGAAATGTTAATGCAAAATTAAGCTATGTCATGAAAATGGGATAAAATAGGTAGCTGTGGACCTGATTCTGCAGAACCCTGGGGCCAGGCTTCTTATCACTTAGCTTGAACTAGGTCTTAATTTATAGTATATCAGTGCAAAAGACAAGTTTCCCTCTGTATCCTTACCTTTTGAAAGTCTAAATCTGGATTTTTAATTGTTTTTTCTCTAGTCTGCAAGCACAATTCCATTTAATTGGCCAGTGTGAGGATGCTTTTCCTAGTGAAGCTTTTCCAGTCTCTGTTAAGTTAAATATCTGTGTATATGTGAATAAGATCTCTAACATTTCCCTCTGCCAGCACAATGGCTGTGTTGTGTATTTCCAGTGGGCTGCTCTTTTGGATAGATCCAATGGCTCTTTCTTGGGAGAGCAGTTTGGTTGCAATGCTCATTGATGAGGATGGGAAATCCCTTTTGTTCCCGTGTGCTCTTTGCCATGTTCCTCTTTTCCTACAATGTGGAAATCAGTTGGAGACTTTCTGTTGCTGAACTTTGAGTTGCAGCTTCTTCCTCTCCCCTGTGTTACCTGTGATCTTGGCAGCAAATGGAGTACCACTGTGACAGGAATGAGTGGGAATTCTACAATTTTACAGTGCACCTTCTCCATTTCATTGAACTCTGCCTTTGTTTAGCACTGTCCTTCTTGCAAACAAAATTATTCATCCAGTTACTAAGCAGTGAAAGCTGCTGGCTCCCTGAACCATCCTGCTCTTCTCATGCTTCTCTGATTTCTCTAAACTCTTTCACCATCACTCTTCTTTTAAACATGATATTGCAATTCAAGAACAGACTAATCATGAAAATCTGCAGGTTCACTTGCTGCAGTAGCTGATACACATTGCAAAATGGTTATGAAAAAAGGCATTTATTTTAATGCTCTTTATATACAAAGTAATTTCACATCACCAACATTTTGATACTCTAATAGTACTATTTGTTATAATTAAAGAACAAACCCAAGAATGTAGTGCCTAAATGACTTAATGCTCCTAAGTCTCATTTGCAACAGTGACAGAGAGATTTCAGGGGATACCTTGATGGAAATTACTGAGGACAGGCATCCTAAATTTCTAAACTTTTTAGACAATGAGGGACTAACTTCCCAAATCACTCATGTGCTCTAAAAATTTTCCCTTTGCAGACAAAAGTTTTGTGCATGCAATTGGGAATCATATTGGGGAAATAAGTATCCAGATTATTGTTAAGTACTGATTACCTATAAAATTCTGCTTAGTATGGAAGGGATCAGCCCTTCAGGAATTGAGACCCACATGAAAAATGCTGAGAGCTTTATTTTAAGTGAAGTATTTTGTTTGCTTTTTCTTCTATTAATTTGGCTTCTCAAATTTTATTAGTGTCACAATCACTCATAAAACTGGACCAGATTTAAAATTGGTTGAATGCTATTATTGCATCTTTATCCATGGGCTCTGCTGTCTCATGAAATGCAGTCACTTTTTGAAACACTTACACTTTTCAAAAGGATTTCTGCCCTGCTTTGCTCTTTCTTTTAGGATCCAGAATGATTCTGACATGAATTTTCTTTGTCCAAAAATGAACTTCGGCCAAGATTCACAATTCCAGAACGCTTTCAAAACATTTATAGTAAGATGGAAGAGTGCCTGTTTACACCAGTGTATGGAGCATTGGAAATCATACCTGTCAAACTCCCAAAAATTCCAAAAAGCTCATCCCTGACCTTTGCCCTTAACATGCAGTGAGTGCCACCACCCGGCTCCAGGCTTTCCATCGAGTGGGTCAAAACGCATCAGCTGGGTTTGCATTCCTCAAGATGCATGTGTAAAGCCACAAGTGGGATCAGCACATGGAACCTGTACTGTGGAGATCAAAGGAGCAGGAATATTCTCGGGCATAGCTGCCTCAGCAGAGTGGGACTGATTGCCTGGGCCAAGTTTGGTGCTTTTGTTGTGTCTGCAGTGGAACGAGTGGCGGTGACTGCTCCTGGGCTCTCCTTCCCCGTGCCTGCAGCTGCTCCCCGGCCGGAGGGCTCCTGGCCTTGAGGCACAGGCATCCATCCCCTTCCCCAGGGACTCCTGCAGTTCCCTGGCCCTTGGGAGCTGGTGCTGTGCCGCACACCTGGCGGGTGGCTCTGGTTTATGTCCTTGAAGCGTGTGTGCCCCAGGCCGTGTGACGCTGGGGTCCCCCCCGGGTCCTGCAGTGCTGCGGTGCCGCTCCGTGGGCTCGGTGCCACCGTGGCTCCCCCGCAGGCCTGGCTCTGGTTTAGTGTGGCTCTGGTTTAGTGTCCTTGAAGCGTGTGTGCCCCAGGCTGTGTCACGCTGGGGACTCCCCCCGGGTCCTGCAGTGCTGCGGTGCCGCTCCGTGGGCTCGGTGCCACCGTGGCTCCCCCGCAGGCCTGGCTCTGGTTTAGTGTGGCTCTGGTTTAGTGTCCTTGAAGCGTGTGTGCCCCAGGCTGTGTCACGCTGGGGACTCCCCCCGGGTCCTGCAGTGCTGCGGTGCCGCTCCGTGGGCTCGGTGCCACCGTGGCAGGCTCACTGCGAGGCCACCACCTGCGGCAGGGTCCCTCCGTGCTGCAAGCCGCCCATGGCCAGAGCGGCGGGCGGCGGCGGCGCGGGGAACAGGGAGCCGGGCAGGTCCGAGTGGGTCTGTGCCTCGGGGCCCGGCATCGGGCTCACCGAGCCGGAGTCACTCTGCAGAGAGCCCAGGCTGCTGCTGCCGTCAAAGTGAGTCATTTTCTTCTTCATTAATTTTCTCTCTTTGGCTCGGCGATTCTGGAACCAGATTTTCACCTGCAGAGGAGCAGAGGAAAATTGTTTTCAGTTGCTGCCATACTGAGTGTGGTCCTTTGTGTACTTTGTCACAGAATCATAGGGAAAATCAGTTGCATGAGGACCACTGGGAAACGCATTGACACACATTTCAGATAACAGAGCTGTTTGCTTTTCATACATGTAATCTTTCCTATTTAGTAAAAAAATGTTTATTAATAGCTTGATAAAAAGTGAGTTTTGTTGTTAGTTCAGTTATTTCTTTATGGATGAGCTTTGATTTATTTAATTTTTTGAAACAAAACCTAACACAACAATCTCATGTGTCCTAGTGATTGCCAAAATTATGCAAAAGTATTGTTACACTGAAAACTGTATGCCCTAGTCAGGGCAAGCCAAGATCTGCTCCTAGCCTATAAACTGAGGCAGAAAAGCTTTCCTGATTGGATGGTGCATGTTAATTAGTGAGTTCCAGTGTGGAAACCAGTGGAAATTCACTTCTGAACAGAATTTCACCAGCAATACACAACGTTAATTCAAAATATTGTCTTAGCAGTGCCTGAATAGCTGAGTGCTTTCTACTTCATTTGTAGGTGGAGCCAAAATCTGCTGCTGCTTCCCACACAATCCAGTGGCACCAGTGTCCCTGCCCGGTCCAGCCACCTTGGGGAAGGAATGAAGAACCTGCTGAAGGTGGATCTTCATCGGGGTGGGACAAGTGAGGATGTGAGCTGAAGGTGAGTAATGGTCAGCTGAAAACACTGCAGAACTTGTTGAGGTGTGAAATGTTCTGTGGTAACTGGACTGGCTTTGGATGTGAATCCCCAGGGTTGGATTTAAAGCTATGCACTCCAGCAGTTTATCCTTGGAAGTGGCTCTGGATCATGTCAGTGTAATAAGTCAAGCTACCTCATTCAGGTTTGTTGTGTTTTTTTTGTGCAGGCAGCAAAGGGAACACTTCTGTCACCGTTTTCTATAACCCAAAGAGAAAAAATCAATATTTTGCTGAGAAATATTGGTCTGTTCAGTTATTTTTTGCTAGAAACTAGAAGGGGAAAGAGAATGATTGGAAAGGAGGTAAAACAGTGAGAGGTGATAACACCTGTGGCTACCAGGCTGCATTTTAAAAGAAGATCACTGGTGAAGCCCAACAAAACATCTTAAGGACTCTGTGACAGTCTCAGGGTGCTTCTCCTAGAGGCACTACATTCCATTTTACAGTTGAAGGATTCAAATACATGCAAAGCCCATGTAAATTTAATCCAGGTCTCTTAAGTCCCAGGCTGCCATCTGAGATGTTTGGCAGTTCCTTTTGTTGTCTTAGTTCTGGAATATCATTTCAGTACCAAATTATGTTCTATTAAGCCAGTCTCAAGCCCTCTCAGATCTCTTGCATTCTGACTGTGCAGAGATAATCCATTCTCATATCTAAATTTCTCTCATATATGTGCCAAAATGGATGAAAAGATGAAACATCTAAAAACTAAACCAACATTCCAGAATTACCCTTTGGCTTCAATGTTCCTGCCTGCCTGTGAATTGAGGTTTTTATTCTGGTTTGTTGTTAAACTAGGGAAGCAGATCTGCAGAGAGGAATTAGTAGGCACTGCAGGGTCATGTGCCAATTATCAAATAAGTCCAAGTAAGAGCAGGTAGGTAATGTCAGACTAACAGCTGACAGGGCCAGCTGCATCTGTCTGACTTGTTCTTCACCTGTTGCCTTCCTTCCTTTCAATTCTTTTTTTCATGCAAATCTCTCTTCCCCTGAAGTCTGATTTTCTCTCTTCTTTCTCATTCTCATCATGTCCTTTATTTCTGTATCCTTCCTATGTTAACAGTGCTTCAATTTGCCTTTTTTTTTTTCTTAATTAGATACTGCATCTTTCCTTCCTTGTTTAAACAATTTTTCTTTGTTCTTTTGAGATGCTCCTTCCAGGGAATTTCGGATTTTGGCAGAGGCAGGAAAAAAGTTTTTCCAGAAAATCAATTGAGGTTTTAGGTAGTGTGCAGAGAAACTTGGGATAGAACAGTGTGTATTCAGTTGTGCTCATATGATGGAGTTTTTTAATTTGTACAAAAGCGTGGTGGTGAGAGTCTATCAGGTATTTCTTACTTAATCTTCCATTTTTAAAAAAACACTTCAGAGATGTAGGTTGTATGAACTGGAATTAATTTTGTTCTTGATATATTGATGATGGTGAAGAACAAATACTGCAAAAGCTGTTGCCAAGTTTCCCCAATATATACAAAGAAATAGATCCGATATTTTTGTTTCACCTCTTCAAATACACTTACAAAACATTCATCAGGAATTATCACTGAGTTAGGAAGTTTCAAGTAAATATCATTGGTTGTTTACAGAAGCAGGGACATAATACTCAAATTCACCATTATTAAGTCAAATTAAGTCAAATTAACAGCCTGGCATTCAGCAGCAGATTGAGGAATATGTGCAAAATGGGTGTTTGCTTCTCCATTTCTGTAAGCTCAGCATGTGCTGTGTGAGCCAGGGTCAGGTTGGATGGACAGTGCTACAGTGGGTGGGCTCTGGACAATTCCTGCTCAGCAGAGCTCATAAAACAATAGTGAATCAGACCTAATCACGGGATTGTGTTTTGATTTATCTTCTGGGAACAGAAGTGGAATTTGGAGGGGAGGAAATGGGGCAGGAGAAAGGAATAGCACGTATGTAGGAAACCTTTAACAAAAGGTACAAGGCAGCCAAGGAAACAAAACCCTTTAAGTGTCCTGCCCATACTTGAGCTCATCACTTCCATCTCCGCTAAGACCGACCTTGTTGCATTTGGTTATGGAATTCCCACTGAATTCCCAGCAGAACCAGGACTTCTGCTTTAGAAAGCATGAAATTCTCCTTGCTGTCACAGCCCAGAGAGAAATCCAGGCAGGATTTTGATGATGTGGTTTAGCTCGTGTTTCTCAGAATGGGAAAAAGACGGTGTGCGCATTTCCTGGGTTATTGCACAGCCCTAGTTTAGGTTCTGCTGCAAAGGGAACCCAGTGCTTGGTTACTCGAGGCATTAACATTTCTGTGTTCTGTATTTACCATACAGTTATCTCCTCAGCAGCAGTCATAAATCCAAAGGAAAGCCTGGATGGCTGATCCATACTCTACCTGTCTCTCGGAAAGTCTTAGGTTTGCAGCAAGTTCAGACTTCCTCCTGATTGTAATGTATCTGTTGTAATGAAACTCCTTCTCTAATTCTAATCTCTGATGATCTGTGTAAACCACTCGGTACTTCTCTCTCGTTCTTGTTTTACCTGTTTTGAAAGAAGAACACATTGCTTCAAGCTAGAATTTTTTCACTTTAGTACCACAAAATATCTGGCTTTGCATTTGAAAATATCTGGGGAGATTTTAGGCCTGATTCTCTATGCACTTACCCAGAGTAACTCCCTTGACTCGGTCGTGATTTACAACACAAGAGGTTCATACCATCAGATACTAGGTTTGCTCCTTAGTAAATAGATAATAAACTGCTTCTCGTGTTCTTTATCACCCCTGTGTTATCATTTGGGAAAGGGAAGGCATTCCTGGTAAGAATAAGGAGCCAGGAAACCTGCGTTCTGTTCCCAGCTCTGCTGCAAACATCCTGACTGGTGTTGCATTGCTTTTGTCTCTGTCCCTAGAGCTGACACTCTTACCTGCCTGACAGAAAACTGTCATGGACATTTTACTGCACAGAAAATATTGAGAGCTTCCAAAGTTCCTCACTTCTTGTTGCTAGAAAAATTCCCACAACGTTGTGATTGTTACTGCAATTTGGAGGTTGTGTTTTCCCATTAAGTCTGGCACAGTCTGCCCACGGCCCGATAACAGCACAGGGAACAGTAATATAGATTTTCAGATGACAGTTCATAAAAAAGACAAAAGGCAAGCAATAATACTTCACAATGGGCAGGGAACTGCAGCATCTGCTGCTTTGGGAGCAGCATTGCTGCCTCCCTTCAGCTCTGGGTGCAGCTGAGTGGAGCAGACACGGCTCAGCAGCATCCAGGGCATTAAAAGGCAATGGCAGATGACAGGAGCCAGGGAACACAGATGCAAGGAGCTGAAATTTTATGGATTCCATACGGGGTCATTTCTGAGGACAGAATGTGTGGCTGCTCTGAAAGAAAGCTGAGAATGGAAAAGGCTGCTGCTGTCTCCCTTCCTCTGTGTTTTATGATTTAGGGAATCAATATATTGGAGATCAGCACCTGCTTAAAGCCAAAGCCTGAGGTCTTCCCACATTTTTAACAAATTGGATCACTGTTGTGTTAAGACCAATGTTCTCATCTTTGCTGACCACAATCTTACCATTTTTTTTGTGTTTCCTTGTTTACCTGTATTTATATGGACATTGCTTCAGATGTGCATATTTAGCCAGTCAATTGTCTGGGACAGGGAATATATTTTCAGTATTTTTTTGCTCTGTGTTCCATTGTGATGCTGGGGGTTGTGAAACTGTGTCCTCAGTGGTCACTGCAGCAGAAGAACCCCCTCAGGTTCTCTTAGGTGATGCACAGAACTCAGGTGTTTGTACCTGTACCTGCTGTTGCTGCAGGTGCCGTGTGGCTTTGCACAGCAGCTCCTGTTTGCTTACGGAGCTTTTTCTGACAAGGTTACAGGTGTGCCTAACTCCTCAAAAAACAGGTGCCACAAGCTCCTAATAATTACACTCTAATAGGAGCAGTTAATTTGGAATGGGGTGAAATGGATTCCCAGGCATGGAGTTGGTAACATTTTCATGTCTGAGTAGATCCCAATGGGACAGAGCCCCAGAGCCACCAGCTTTCCCTGGCTGGAGAGAGGAGCAGGAGGGGCCATCTCTCAGTGCTGCCAAAGGCCTATTCCTACCCAGCCCCTCCTTCACACTCCCCTTCATAGCTCCCAAAGATCAGCATTCAGGGTACAGGACTACAGCAGAATCTTGGGTTAGTGTTTTTCTCCCATCTGTGGAGGGAGATGTGGTGTTTCTTTGCTTTTTATGGAACATATTTAAAGTTAGCATTGCTTTCCACTTGCCATACACACTATATGGGGTCACTTTTGCCTCTTCCAGTATTTGACAGTCAGGACTTTGCTATTTCTAAGAATTTTTGGCTCACCAACCTATTGCTTGCATAAGAAGTTTCTTCAGGTTCTGCTCCTCTTTGTACTATTTGTATAGATCCCAGAGCCAGAGCTGGTAAGCACTGGAAGTCCTGGGCAGTGCAATGCTGTAAATAAATCCCTTTATAACCTGGATGGGGATGGTTCTGGTTCACCCTACAAGACAGGGGTTCTCTAGGACTCTCCCCAGGCTTATAGAACCAAATCTTCATCAGAATTTGGTCCTTCAGCTCCCATGTTCCAAGCCTGGGGGAGCATCAATAGTGCCTTTACAATGCTCTGGGCATCGTCCAACTCTTCTTAAGGCCATCAGCCTGATTACTTGGAATATTTCAATAGGGAAAATAGATGTGGGATTGCTCCTTAGGCTGTGGGTTCTGCTCAGTCCTTTGTCTCAAATCTGCTACCTGTCTGTGAAGGTGCTGTCTGGCTGGGGAAGATGTGCAGGACATTCTCATTCGCTGGCATTTCCACCTCTGGGAAACTGCAGTGGGAGCAAGAATTAGCCCAGTGACGTTTACACTGATAATCCAGTGAAAAGTGCTGCTAATTTTAGAACATTAAGGTAAGAATGGTAGTGTCTCTAAGGAACAGCAGTGATTCAGTTCAGTCCACATAAATACCAGGACATTTGTTTTCCTTCACTGGAAGTGTAAATTGTTTGTTTAACGTATGGGAACCTGTGGTGCTTTAATGCCTCGCTTGATATTTTTTAACTTTTGATCTCTTTAACTGGTAGTTTGGTTAAGGGTTTTTTTCCTCTTCAAATGAGAATTTGGGGTCATTCTAGGGGACAAAATGTTTAACATGTTTCCTTAGTGTCCTTTGTGTTGTTAAGATGGTGTACACAAAAGAGCAACAAGGTGATCTTATCTTGACCTCTATTCTCATTCAGAAGGCACAGACAAATATCAAATGTTCTTCTATTGCCAAAACAAGGTGGTAAACTTCAAGAAAAACCTTCCTGTTTCTGGTTTTAAGTTCTTAAACCCTTACTGACTGAATAGGAGAGGGTTGTGGTGTGTTGTTTTTTTTTTGTTTTGTTTGTTTTGGTGGGTTTTTTTGTTTGTTTTTGGGGTTTTTTCTTTCTTTTTAGAAGAAGAAATTAAATGTACATGGAAAACAGAATTTTCTCCCATAAGATATTTTATTTTTGTACGAGTAGCTCTCCGGGTTTTTTTTAGTGGAACTGATAATATCTAGATTCTTTTTGAAGGAAGATTGGGAGCTTTGGCATCTAATTTCTTTCTTAAAGTTAAGAAAATAATTTAGAAAGTAAAAAACAAAAGGAAATTCTGAGAAATGCTCTGAGAAAAATTCTCTGATGTGTCAAATAAACCTTGTCTTTAATAATTTGATTTTTTTTAATGTGTGGAGTAATTCTGTGTGTGAGAGACAAGAGACAGTGGTAGCTGAGATCTGCCAGAGTCTTCCAAGAGACACTTTTAGCTCTGGCAGAGCCATATTTTAGTTTTTTAGGCCTTTACTCTCCTTGGTGTTACTGAGAGTCTTCCTACTGCCTTTGTTGGATGCTGGGCTGGAATTAGTCTGCACATGGTATTTCCTTTCAAAGGCAAAGCACACTTTTCTTTGCCAGAGTTAACAAACAGCAGCAACAGAACCCATCCTTAAACAGTCTGGGACTTCAGCTTCTGAATTCCCTCTGTTAGACAGAGCAGATCCACTCCACTGAGTTCTGCAGAACTACTGGTTTTAATTTCAATTGCATTTTATTTCCAGGAGAAATATTACCTGAGTAGAATTTGAGGTGGGACTAGTGGATTCACCCCACAGATAGTGGGAGGATGTTCTTCACTTCTGAGGACATAATGTCAAAATTTAATAATGCAATGATGAGAGTCCTTGTATTAATGCAATTCTTTAATGGAATCCTGCATATTTTCCTCACTTAGGTGAGTGAAATAGCCAACATTTGACTTCGTACCATCTTAATTAATCTATCTGTTGTTAGTGACAGGTTAAAATTACAATCAGCAGTACTGTGTCAGTTCTATAGGGAATATGTTCTGGCATGGACAGTTCCCCCATGGAATTGTGGTTGCAGAGGTTATTGGTGCTGGGTGGAAGAGAAATGAAACAAAAGGGCTTTGAAGCAGCTACCTTTGCAGCCTGCTTGCCTTTGTGCTGGGGGAGTGGGTTTCCTGGGTTCAATGAGCTATATAAGAAGAGGGAGTTTTGTCAAAACCCTCTTTTGCTCTAGTGACTACTGAGGAGTGCCTTTGGACCAGCAAGAAATCAGACATTTCAGAGCTGGAAGTCTTTTTGTGGGATATAGTTTAACAATGCTGCTCCATCACACCCACTCTGGCAATTTTTGACTGGCCAAGTTTTGAGTTGGGGGAAGGGAACAGCTTTCCCATTGGTCATAAAATTCACAGAGTATTTCTTCTGAAGACAATAAAGCTGGGAGAAGGCCTCTTTATTTGCTGTGAAAATCATCACCCTTTCCGGCAATATAACTCCTGAAGAAAAGAGGGAGAAGGAAGAGACAAGACTGCATATCAAAGCAAAGTGAAGTGTTAAAAGGGTCTGTTGCCTCAATATGACAGATAGGCCTCAAAACCTCAGACAATGTAGGCCAGGAAAGGAAAAAAAACCCACCATCGGACCTCACAACTTGTTTACAAAGCAAAATAAATTAGCATTAGAACCAGCCCTGGGCCCTCTTTCAGAGCCTCCTGTCTTCACTTTTCAGGAATATTCTGCAGGCCCTGAAACAGCATCTTTCATAAAATCAGAAGCTGCCTGAAGATGTTCTAGGATAGGATAGTGTGGGATTTCTGTGGGATTGCAGAAAAGCATTGCAGCCTGGATCCCAGGGCTTAGCAGCGTTTCAGAGGAAGTTATTGCTGTGCTTGGTGGCTGGATGTTACCTTAAATTATCCCAGAAATGTCAAACAGCTTCTGGCCTGAGGATATGCTCTGTTCCCACCTGCATCTCCATTACTTTAGTATTAAAAACTGATGTTAATTTTTGAGTTTATAAAGATACAGACTGACAGAGATCAGGCCTCACTTTTGTTTAGGACTCTAACTACCTATGCACTTTAGAAACATAGGAAAAGTAAGGGACAAGTTCTCCCTGAATTAAGTCAGTAATTTCACCGACTTAATTGAAATTGTGAAGCAAAAGTAGTTTTAAATAAGTTTTGAAGACAAACATTGTGCTGCACATGATGTTCTGTAAAGCTAAATTTAAAAAACCCCGCCAGCCACTGTATTAAAAAATGTGACATAGATCCAATCTTATATAATATTCTTGCCAGAAACCTTGGTGTGGTGAGTGGGTGGGGTGTCCTGGTCCTGTGCATTAGTGCAAAGTTAGGTGCTAAAGGTTTGTGAAACCCAGTGTAATTCTGTGTTTGTATTTTCTGCTACATCTTGTCATCTGTTCTTTTATACATGCTCAGATTGTTCATGCTGAAAAAACAGAATAGAATCATAGAACTGAAACCTTTCAACAGACTTGAATTTTCCCTTCTGTTTTCAATTTTGAATATGTTCTGCTATTCTGGAATAAAGCTCATTGGCCAAATTCTGTTCTTCCCTTTGCTAGTGTAAACTTTTCTATTCATCTTCATCTAGAGAAGGAATTGGATCCAAAGCAGAGTAATTTTTATTCTTTTTAAGCAATGACTGGACAGGCAGAAGCACTCAACCTGCAGAAAATGTCAGTGGATTTCTGAGTGGCAAACCGGGGGAAAGCCCATTGCCAGTGACTGTAGACTAAAAGGAAAGTGATTTACTGAGATTTTTCCCAAGTGTTGCATGTTCTTTAACATTGAGCATTTTACAGGAATGGCCTCTAAAGGGGCTTATTCCTCTTCCATTTGAGGGAATAGAACTCCTTCCTTCAAAGACTAATGTGATACATTTACAGTGCTTTTAGTCATGATGCTCTCAGTTCTCCTGTCATCAGCAGCAGAAAACTGTCTTTTGTGTCTGAAGAGTAAATTTTTATTGAAGAAGAATGATAGTAGAGTTGTCATCTACAGGAAAAAATCTCTCCTCTGAATCAGTTCACCTGTTTCAAAACATGTCCCCACCCTATTTTATGGTAACATAAGTGCAGATCTTAAAGTGCACTTTCAGCTTTGTGAGCAAATTCTCTTGGGAGTTCCCTGCTCAAACTCAGTGTTTTGGGCACACTTTTACAACAGGTGTGTGTTGTTTTCTCACACAGTCATAAAGTCAAGTCTACTCCTGTGTGAGTGATGACATAGCTCCATAAAAATCCTGAAATCAACAGGATGAGATTTGTAGCTTCTTCTAAGGTGGTTTTATTCTACTTTCCATCAAAGAATTTGCCTGTAATTATGTCTTGTGTGTGTGTGGAATTACCACCTCACATTTCTGCCTGTGGCTTTGCTCCTTGTCCGGCTCTCTCTAAGGAGAGGTAGAGAAGACAGGCGCAGTGTAAGGGTTGGAGCAGAGTCTTTTCTCTCAGTGTTTGTGGCTGAAAATCCTGAGTACAGTGATTCCCCTTCAAGTGTTCTCAGTCAAAACACATTGGCTTTTTCCTGAGGAGTGCAGAGACAGGGCCCTGGATTCTACGTGCTCTGCATTGAGGATCCAATCCCTGCAGTGCCAAGGCAGGGACAGACACTCAGCCATCCTTCAGTCAGAGAAAGAAGGATGCACGAAAGCCTCAGCAGGACTTTCCTGCAGGAAATGTGTTCTAGTAGTATTAAATCAGGATGATAATCTCACATTAAATAATGAGATCCTCCAGAGGTTTCAGGTAACCTCACAAATTTCACTTTACATCAGTTGAACACATGGTTCTACATCGATGTTGTTTTTAAAGGTACAGAGTAAAACTTGAAATAATTTGTTCCTTTGTTTCAGGTTAGCTGTGTAGATAACAGTATCAAAAGACCTGGAGGGCATGAGGCAGTGGTAGAAATTACAATAAAGTGTTTTGTTTGTCATCTGTCAGGACATGAGGCTGCAAAGCACCAGTAAGAGAAGATAAGCATGAAACCTCTGGAGATGGGAATGCCACGGTTTCAGGGCCTTGTTTCTGTAGCTGCTCCACGTCAGACTACTCAAAGTGAGTGAACCTTTGGCAAGAATTCTCCCAGCTTTAAAGGGATAAGATTACAGGAACGTTTCTTGCACACTTCTGAGAATATCTTGCAAAAATTACTTGCTTTAATAATTATTGTTTTCACAATGAAATATTATTGGTAGTATTAGTATTGATAATTAGTGCTTTGCAGAATGTAATGAATAAATGGCAGAATTATTTTGTCTAAATGATTACTGTTGTGATCACCTCAGGTAAGTCTGAGCCTCATTTTTTTCATCATTAAGAACAGTGGTCTGTATCCATTCACAGGGAATAAGGAAAGCTAATAAATAATAAGTGTGATTCCTTCATTCTTGCAACACCAGACCTTTACTGAAATGCCCAAAGGTTTTATAAAGAGACAGAAAGATAACTCTCGGTGAACAGAGACAGCTTTAAGGATGTAAAAAGCTAAGAAAATTCTGAGGGGTTTGATCATGATCCAGCAAACAACATTTGCAGTGAGCCTGCTCACACCCCTGAAATCACTGCAACACCTGCATGTACAGAACCAAAGTCACTCAGGTGCTTTCCTAGAGCTGACACTGCTGCAAGAAAATATTTTAAATTATTTTATTTTTTGGGAAACCCTGAAGGATACCAGTGCCCTTGCTTTTAAACAGAAAAAGACAGAGGATATAGAGTGAAGGGAGAGAAAGGAACCAACTCCAGTGAAACAGATCTGCTGGCACTGAGACTGCCTGGCCTAGCAGAAATACTAATATATATATAAGAGGGAAAGAAGCAGCAGGAGAATTCCTCCTCTGGATCTTTTCCCTAAAGCAGCACTCAGTAGCTTTTAAATGTAGCCTTCCACTGGCTCATGGGCATTTGGGAGGGTCTGTTCCTATGGCCTGCTGATTTCTCCAGTTCTGGACACAGATATGCTCAATATCTTGTTAGACCACTCCAGAAAGGAGACACTCCCAGCTCTCCTGGGAATGCTCTGACCTTTGCAGGCTTGAAATTTGGAAAGTTAGAAATCTCTAAGTTCTTCTTGAGCAGCAGTTAGAATGTGATGTTTTATATTATTTATATATATATCTGTATGAGTGTGTGCTGTATCAATCTATCCCAGTGTCCCACTATCAAAGGGACAGCACAGAACAAATCAGGTCTTGCTCCCTTGGTGTGACTGGGATCCACAGGAGCACAAAGCAGGTCAGGGAGGGATGAGGGGCAGTGGGTTTTTTGAGGAAGGGTTCTGCCATCTGTAAATCCCACAATTAATGAGCAATTTTGTTGCCCTTGTAAGGATTCCTCAAAAGTAAGCTGCAAGTCTTTTCAAAACAGGCCCTGTTTTGTTTTTCTTGGATAATATTCAGTGAAGAACAAATACGATTTTAAAAATACAAAGTTTTTTATCCCTCCAAATTCTTATTCACATAGAGCAACAGCCTGTTCTGATTGCTCTATTGAATTCTGTGAACTCTCCATGAACTAAAGTTGTGCTCACCACGAGTGAGGAGGACTCTGCCCATACAAATTAGATGCATTATTTTAATACAGACAACTTTTCTATGCAGTTGCTTTCAATTCTCTAATGTCTGTTTTAAGTAATTGCTTTTCCACCAGAGATTGATTCAGTCCCTGCTTTGAAGACTTTTATTTACAGGCAGGTGTGGAGGGTGGGAGGCAAAGGGAAAGAACCTTCCTGGGATGCAGCACTGAAATACTGGATCATCTCTTTAGGGGAGGAATTGAGCATCCCTAATTTCTACTGATCTCAGTGCATGTCAAAGCTGCTCAGCACCTCAGAGGATCAAATACTTTCATACAGCAGATTATGCCTCTGGTTTTTTTCAAGCAGTTTCCCCTCTTTTTCTTCTCCCCTTTCTTGTTTAATATTTTTTTCATATATAGTGTGCAGATTTTTGTTTTAGGGATGCTCAATGTTTATATTTTTCTTTTGTTCCTCCTCCCAATCAAACAGAACCTTTCCCTCAAGCTTCATGGCTTACTTTTGCTGCTTAAATACAATTGAACAATTGTTTTGTACTCCTTGACTTGCAGCAGAGCCTAATCTGTGGCTGTATTACCAGGCTGTGTTACCATGGATCTTTGTATTCCTGCATATTCTGAGAGCTGCTACTACAAAGTGAAGCAAGCCTTTCCTTATCATTCCTGTTTTTGAAGCACTGACTCATTGTTTGATCTTGCAGATCTCATTTCAGTGCTCTGAGGTTTGGAGGGGTTGTTTCTGGTAGAAAGCCTTACTGCCAGCCTCCTGCTGTGCATATTTTACTTGAACTTTTCCTAGGTACTCCAAAACTTGAGGAAAGTAAGCAAAGAATAGGTGGGGGTAAATACAATACTTCCTGTTTCATCCCAATCTATAGAACTCCTATTAAAAGCAGCTATTGGATATCACAAACTTTAAAAACATATCTGAAGTGAGGAATGAAAGGACACTACTTTCCATCTCCCACAGTATTAAAGATCAAGCAAGAAACCCAAGAAATAATCAACTGACCAAACCCAGCATCCAATAATTTAACCAATATTTAACTGCTAGCAAGAGAATCCTTCAGAGCAATCAGGATCTTTCTTTATTAATCTGAATCCTTCCTCTGAACAGGGAACCTGGCAAAACCCCCCCAATGACACAACAACAAATAAAAATCCCTTCTCAGCACAAAACCTCCGCGCCCTCCTACCTGTGGAAGTGGATTGCACCGTTTTCCTCATCCACTCATAAGAGCTGTGCCTTTGGCTGTTGGGAGAGATTTGCTGGGCATTAATGGTATCTACAGGAGGTAAGGCCGCAGCAGCAGCGGGGTGCAGGGAGCTGTAATCAGCAGAGCTGTAGGAGCCCTGGCCAGGGGACGAGCCATTGATGTGGGCAGCGGGCCCGGCGCTGGAAGGGCCTGGGCCGTAGGCGCTCCAGTCCTCGCGCTGGGGGCCGTAGTGGGAGCCCCAGGCCGGCTGCCCGTGGCTGTCCAGGGCTGGCACAGGGTGGTATCCCATGTACTCGGAGTAGGCTGGAGCAGACACGAAGTTCTGCACGGGCAGGGTGTTGCTGGTGCACCTTGCAGATCCCGGATACATGCTGGTGTCTTTATCCAACAGATAGCTCACGTACATGATGCTCACAGCCTGCCTTTGTCTTGCTGGGACATCCTGCTCCTCGCAGGGTTTGTTTGATCTCCCTTCCCCTCCTCTTTCTTTCTCTCTTTTCTAGCCCAGCCTGGCTCTATAAATGACTCCTGCTAGCCCTGATGTCCCTTTACTACACATGATTAACAATGGTTTTACCAGGTGCTGGTGGTAACAGTTTACTAAGGTCCTGCCTGATGTCACAGATAACTGCCTGCCCCAAAATTACATTTGCATTCAAATGAAGGGCTGCCCATGCAGGCAACCCCACCTTGCTGCTAGTTCCAGTGCTTCCTTTCTCACAGATCTTTATGTATTGCCAGCCCCGTTCTTTACTTTGAGGATGTGGTTTGAAATCTCGTGGTCTTCCAGCAGAGCTGAGTAGGTAGTTAACCATAACTGTTCAGGCAGTAGAAGTTGTATTTTTCTTGAGCAGTGCATGTCAGGATCTCACTTCAGGCACTCGGTTAGAGTTAGTCAAAGCCTGGTGTCTGCTGGTCCAGTAGTAGTTCTGCTCCACTGTGCTCTATTTTTTTTTTAAGCTAAAACCAAAGGAGCAGTTCAGTGTTTATCAGCAGCTCTTACAGAGCTCCTCACATAAGCACTCTTCTTGACTTCAGCTCTTCATCTGTGTGGGAGAGCACTTAGAAACCACAGTAATCCCGGTGATTTTACCATTACAAAGGATATACAAGAAGTCTCATAGTCATTTTGAGCATTTGTTCATACGAATAGTCTTGTTGATGTTAGCAAGCTATTCATGAGCTGGCTGCTTGCCACAGTGATTGAAGTTCCTCTGTTCTAACCTCCAACGTTCACAGAAAGGGAATCTGTTATTGAGAGAATGCAGAATTTGTCACTTTCCCTGTGCTTATGTCTTGGTTGTGATATTGAAATGAGTGATAGTTTTCCCTGAAGGTTTTTTTTTTTTTTTGTTGTCATTGCTGTGCTTCTTTACAATAAGTAACACCTTTTCTTGCAAATATGAGAACAAATTATAGCTTTTTAGCTCAGGAAAGCAGTTTCCTAACTTTCAGGAGCAATCTTACTCAATGTTTGTGAGTAACAAATCCCTACGAGATCATCTGTAACCAGGAGCAAAGAGAGAAAGTGTGGATTTCTTTTTTTAAACGAGATGGATACCTTAGCATTGTCTCTTAATGGGAGTTCACCCTGTTTTCATTCCTGTTCCTTTAATGATGTGATACTTAATTGCACCTTTATTAATGATTCGACTTGTTAAAAGGAGTTTTTCCTTAAACAGGTGCAAAGTATAATGAGTTTTTTCTTTGTTCAGAGGTGTATTTTTTCTCTGAGTCTTTTGCACTTTAACACCATTTAAACTTCCAGGTTCTCCAGAGGAAGGAATCACTTTGCACACCTGACAGCACCTTTGTTTCCTTCAGTGAGAGAATGGTGTCCTTAGGCTGCATTCACAGTGTGCCTCAGGGCTGGACTTGTGGAAAAAGCTTTTTTGACTGATAATCTCAGAAGCACAGCTACTTGCTCAGAGTATTTCAGATTTTCCTGCTGTGCACCTGGGTAAAATTTGTGCTCTTTTGCTTGTTTGCTTGTTTTTGGGGGCTGATGTTTTGCCGGTGTAATTGCTGAAAGGTATTTTAAAAATCATTATGTGGTGGGAAGTTGCCAGAAGCTGTTTCTGCTGCTTGCATATGTGAGCTTACTCGCTTGCAATTTGCACATCTGTGACAGCTGGCCACTCAAAATTACCCATCAGAGCTGCTGGGTAGGACTTCTGAAATCCAGGGAAGTCAGTGATCAGTGGGTCATGGATCTGAACTGCTTAATTCTGCTGCAGCAGCAAAATAAATCACAGTTGTCCAGTTTAGAATTAGGTGTCTCTGAGCAGCCTGTCTGCAGTTAAAGTGCGATTTTAATGTAGTGGGATCTTCCTATTTTTAAATTCGAGTGTTTTTCTCCCTTCTCAAATTTAGAGCACTGTGGATGCTCAGTAGCTCTTGAGTGTTCAAATAGTTACAAAGAAAGATTTTTTACATCTTTTTGTTGAAAGTTGATTTCATTTCCTTTCTTCCTCTTCAAAACTGTTGAAGCCTCATCCTTGTAGGCATTTCAGGGCCTCTCCTGAGTGCAGGTGTAGCAATAAATCAGCCAGAGGAAGAAGCAGCATTTGCTCCTTTACTGGAGCCCTCCAGCTGTCTGCAAAATGTTCTAATTATGTTCATTCAAGGAGACTTTTCCTTCAGGCTTTATGTACCTGGTAGAGCCCAGCACAGAGCTCTGCAGAAGGGCTGAGTTGGATCTGCCCTTGTTCAGTGTTCAGGAATGTTGGATACACCAGGCTCCAGCCATGGATTCATTCTCTCCCACTGCAGCATTGTTCCATGAGGAACATTTTGCTCTGTATTTCACAATGATTCAATTTGTCTCATGGAGCTACTGAAAGCAGTGCAATGGTGATTAGTCCTTGTATTAGAACAATCACATAAAATACCTTTTGATGCTTTCAATAATACATGGATATAATGACATGGAAGGAGATTTTTCCTCTTCTATACTGCCTAAAGAAAGGGCTTTACAATCTGGGATGGTTGAACTGACAATGCTTTTGCTCCTCTGGCCTCATGCTGTGCCCACAAAGCAGGAAACTGTTTCCTTTGGATTCGTGAGTACCCTAAGTTGGTCTGGCTGCAGCAAGCTGTACTTTAGCTTTGGTTAGTCCAAGCTTTTATAATTTATATAATTTCAATCTTATCTATTAGTTAAACCACAGTCATTTGACTGTAATTGCTGGAGCTGTGTGAATGATCACATGTTAATATAGTTAATTTAAAACTAAATATTTTCAAAAGTTCTCAAATGCAAAGTGAATGGAAATGAGAAATCACCCTGAGTTCTCAAGAGGGAAAAGCACTTTATTGAGATGATCCTAAAACACCTTCACCCTCGGGCCTCTCTAAGATGCATTTTTTTAGTTCTAAATTTGAATAGTTTCCATCCTCTGAAGCTGGGAGTTGGTGTCCACCAGAGATCCTGGATGGGAAAACATTTCTGAAGGAGACTTTATCAGGTGATGATGATGTGGGCAGAGACCAAGCAGCAACACTGGGATCCTCCACTTTGATTATTCCTCTTCTGCTACACGAGTGAGTGTCCAGAGCTTTCCTTTGTCATGTCACAAAGCCATGGATCTGCTAAGGCCCCATCCTTGTGTTTCCAAGCTGATTGTCTCACATTTTAACCATATCCCTCTCCTGGGATGCAGACCTTCTCCTACACATCCCATCTTCTTATCTAGGGACTGACAGAGCTCCAATAGCTCAGTTTTATTTTTCTGAGCTTTTATTTTTCTTTGGTCTCCAAAGAGTAGCAGTACCCATTTTTGGAGGCACGTTGCCGTTCCAAGCCTGATCTCTGACTCCGGTGAAGCAATGGGGACAGCTGCTGGTCATCTTCCTGCATGGCAAGGAGACCTTTCCGGGCTTGCAGGGACCGTGACCTTATGCAGATTTCAGAGTTCTCAGCCTGCTCAGGTCTGTTTGGAGCAGGACTCGTGTCTGTCACATGTCCAGCTGCAGGAAACAGCAAAACTCCTGAAGAATCCTGGCTTGGAATTCTGAATATGTTGCAGGGATTTTTGCTCTGCTGTTTGATTAATGGTAACATCTCTCCTTTGAAACCTGAAGTGGACTGTTATGAACGTGCCAGGCTTTTAAAAATTAACTTTTACAAGGAATTTTCTGGGCTAAACAGGCCTGAAAGGTGCTGCAATACAGAGTGGGAGTGACAGAGCTGGGGTGTGAACAGGCTGGGACACTCCTGCCATCCAACGTGGCACCGAGCCACAGGGCTGGAATGTCACATCCACTGCACACCAGGGAACAGCCTCAGGAGGTGATGGCAGTCAGGAGCCAAGAGCAGGACTGTGAGGTTTTAACCTTGTATTCTCTAAAGAGCAGCTGTGCTTCAAATGTATTGTCTTTGTTAATCAGTGTATACGCTCTTAAAATAATGTCCCCAACTTCCAGCTAACTGACATAGGTGTAGCCTTTAGGATTGCTACAGTAACCAGCTGTCTCACCAGAACTCTGAGAACACTCCTACTTCTGAAGAAAAGAATCTCCTTTCCTCCCTGTTGTTCTCTGTGCTTTGGATTTTAACACCTTGCAATGCTCTGGATCTCCTTGGGCTGTGTGAGTCAGGCCCTGCTGCAGTGGCGTTGGAAGTGGTGACATTGTGGCAGCCTTAACCCGATAATTCGCTGCTCCATGATCTTCCCAGAAGTCCAAACAGATCACAGCCTCTGTCCAGTGCCTGCTGCCTCACCTGATGCCCACAGGAACAGGAGAAAAACACATCCACAAAGAGCTCCCTTTGCTCACCTCACACCTGGTGCACAACACAAGGTTCCAGTCCCAGGCTGAGGGGAGTTCCTGCTCAGCTCACTGAGCAGCTGAGTCCAGCAAAATGGGATCCAGCATTCCCATCCTCGGCGCTTTGTGTTTGTGGTTAACACTTCTCTGCTGTTGGAAGCCCCTTCTTGACATTTAGAAGGAAACTGTGTTATATTTTGATATTAAGGCTGCTAAATCCTCTCTGGGGAAATCCCTTACCTTAGGTGATGGTTTTGAGAGCTCTGTGAACACCTGGCTCTAGGAGCACATTCTGGATTTGGGCACTTGGCTGCTGAGCACAGACTGTATGTAGATTATTTTAATCGAATTCTTAACTAACATCAAGATTTTTTTTCTTTTATTTTCTTTTCAGAAGTGTGTTTTCTCCCCCTCCTTTAGTATGAAAAATATCCCTGGATATGAGAGTGTCTCAGCATAGGTGAGGGATCCACAGGTACATTTTGCTACAGCTCTGTAGTCACTCCTGAATGCAAGTCACCGCAGTGGCCTCTCCGAAGTGACAATTCCCACTAGGTGGCACTTTGAATCCATGGCACGGGCAGAACCCTGGCCGATGGAGTACCTGGGAGCTGCCACTCGCATTTGTACTTAGTGACTGACCAAGCTAAAAAAGGATCAATGTAGTGCTGCCTGCAGCAAGTTTCACAGCTCCGTTTAATACCAACATTGATTAAATCCCCACCCCCAGCTCCATGTGAAAGAGCATTAGCACAGAAATTATCCCCTCTCCGAAACCCTGC